TTTTGGTTTTATTTTATTATGCACTGGTTTTTTATTTTAATAAGATTAGTTACCTTTAGTTTACATTAGTATATTTCGATTTTACTAGTTGTATTGACGAGTATTGTGTGCTTTTCGGCTAGAAAAATGGCAAGAACGTTTATCTTTCATGATTTTACCTTAACTCTGAAAACCGCCATTTCACTTAATAGTTCCGTATTTATGCATTTGAGTAATTTGCGTTAATCTATCATTTGCGTACTTCTCGTGTCCTACTCGGTATACTTCTCTGTTAAAGTAGTGCGCTGTCCTGTTTCCACTGTTTTCTACTTTAATCCGCCGTATATTTTTAATTTCTTACTCTTTCCCATGATATGCCTATCCATATAGCCCCTAGTAACATCGTTTCCTTAAGACAGAAACCTGGGCTTTTCTGTTACTGTGATGTAACCCACAACAAATTGTTGTCATCATTTTTAGCAGTGAACATTTTATCACCAGCATATACTACCCGTGGTATTTATATTATATTTCAGGTGTTTCCTCATATTTTGCGCCACCGACAACCAACGAATTGCGTGAGTAACGATAATCCGTAAAATCAAAATTCTATATAAACGTCAGCTTGGAAGTTAAGAGGTTGCTTGATGTCTAGGCTTCAACATACTGACCACCTACTAAATAACCACTTTCATGTTTTAGGTGCACGCAATTACGTTTGCCTTCTTCCCCGCCAACATCCTTGTCATCCGTCCGTATACTAGATTAGTGTGGCCAACGCGAAGAGGTGCCTATAAACACTTCGTACGTTGCAACCCCCTGTTCTCTTACACGCACAATTTGCTCAAAAACACCAGAAACATTGGCTGAAACATTTTCTGAAAATCTCCTTTTCTTCCTATCCCATATCTTCATTCCCCAAAACCCTATAACCACCGCTTTCGTAGGGCAAATGCTGGGAATAGGGGTATATGAGGGGGCTACATAAGCTACCTTTGCCCAGTAACGAATATTTGCGGAGAGGATCATACCCATGTGATCCCGTCCCCTTAACTCACTTCTGACCTAAGTCGCACATCACACAGCGAATTGGCAAATCACGAGGCCTCGTCACCCAGTAGACGATAGGGAACTGAGTTTACTTGTGAATAGTTATTCTTATATTAGCAAACATTCGCCTTCCCTTGGACAGTTGAATATCGCTAAATCCTTTTAATCGGGCTCCGTCAAACATCTGTGTAAATGATCAAATTTCGAAGCCGTGCACGTTGTCTTGCGCGCATTTAAATTTATCCACTTGGGTTATAAACTGTACAATACTTACTGCGTGTTTGCGTTTGAATGCATGATTGATAATTTACCTTCTTTTTGTTTCATGGCATTTAATTTTTAAATTTGCCTGCAAAGTTTTCCTCTTGTTCAGTTTAAAATCGGTAAATCTTTAAAATCTGTTTTCACCATACAGCAGAGTTAATTTATAGCCTCAGGAGCAGCGCATTCTTCACTAGGAACCTTTAAAATATTTGTGTCCATGGTTCGAAAAATAGAATCTAAAAAAACATTTCCGAAATCTTCAAACTAAATCTAACATGTTCTGAGATGTTGCTTTTTAAACTTTTGTAGAAAATGGACAATTTCCAGGAGAGCATACCCCTGAATGAAATGAAGACCTTTCGGCCAACGCCCAGTACTAGCACGGCAGAAAACCACGTACGTGTAGCTAGAATCCATTAAGGATATGCATGGGAAATGTAATTTTTTTTAATCTGGTGCCAATACGCAAATTTGACTAAATTGGCCGGAAAAAAAGATACTAATTTCCTCACATTGCGTAGATGATAGAAAACTGAGATAATTGTTACTTTTTTATTCCTCTTCTAGCCACTGTATTGTCTTTTTGTGCTGTTTATTATCACTCGACCTTTCAGTCGGCTTGCCTCATACGTTAGTACGAAAGTCCGGAATCAGAAGCAGTTTAGATTCCGCTAAGTACATTGACAGCATTTTCTCCTGGGATTGTACATAATGGCTAACTTATAACGGTTAACAAGCCTTGACTGGCCATATCAATCTCCATTGTCCTTATTGGTTATATCACCTTTCACTATAAACCCTCTAAATATTAGCCCCAGGATTGGAAACAAAAACTGGAAAAAAACTGTTAGACAATCTTCGGGCTAAGTCTAACACATTCATACATTTTGCTTTTCAAACTTTTCTAGGAAATGAACAACTGCCTGGAAATCATACCCATGAATGAAATGACGTTGAATTTTCGAAGGATGCTCACTACTAACGCGGTTGATGACGAAGCAGATGAAAATTGTGCAACGTTAAAGAAATACCTGCGTAAATACATGCCTTTTGAACGGCAGGCGTTCTTAATGAATCTGTGTCGACTGGCTATGCATATCATCGATCTAATTTTCGATATTTTGGTCACCAAAGATTTCTATGAACGCGTAAGTTACCCGTTTTGCATAGTCTTTTCAGTAAATCGCTATTTTGGAATCGAAATAGGATGTTTTCTAGCCTCGTATAATAAAATTAATGCCTGTTTGATTTTTTGACAAAGACCAAGCATTTGGAATCCTCACTGTGAACGATGCGCCCAGTCGCTTGTAAGACGTCCTTGATGCACGACAGATCGTGCCATGACCTCGGTGGTGCTTCTCTTTGGGTCCTTCAAAGCCGAACGCGTATGCATGTGCCCCCGGATAGCCATGCCCCTATAGGTTTGTCGGCAAGATATCGCTATTCGCGTATCTTTTCCTCCGGTCTGCACCGAATCCATTTTGAATAGCATTTTCACATGTGTTATGTTCGTTGCCCCCCTGTAAATTGTCGTCTCAACTTCACCGTTGAGCGTTCTCTGGACGAGGACACCAAGGACGGGCAGCTACTGCTCCTGTGCTTATTCTCTCTTGAATGTTATCCCAGAAAAGGTTCTCTTGAGCAAGTTATAGAAGTTTTGCAAAATGGTCTACTAGACGAAAACTGATGTGTCGATGACGTAGCGACATAAAAAGAAAGGCTCGTGTACGGTTAAAGCATTATTCCTTAGTAAAATTCGTAAACTATACATGCCTACTGGAACGACTGTAGTACATATTTATGCAAAAAGGAAGCTGCACGGCGCCTTAAATTTA